ATTTCGTTTGTATCAGCTGCATGGTCGTAGCTACAACAATGACCTGTAGCTGCAAGATCATAGCTACATTGATGCGTAGCTACAACGTCCTAGCTACCACACTGAGTAGTACTGCATGGTCTTAGGTACCACCATTTGCTGTAGCTCCAAGGTCGAAGCTACATGGATTTGTAGCTACAAGGTCATGGCTACAACAGTGACCTGTAGCTGCATGATCGTACTGCGTAGTAATGTATACAATGTAATGTACTGTAGGTATACTATGTACTGTATATTCAACTGAACATATGACATACAATGTACTGTACGCATTACTATGTATGTACTGTACCTGTCCTCAGGCAAAGTACAGTCGTACTATAAATACTAATCAGTCAAATTAGACTATTGTTGATTACATTCAAGAATTACTGTAATTACTAAACGATGGTCATAAATAGTGCATTGAATATCTTGAGATAGCTTTATATGACGCACTTTTACAGTTACGTTGAACTTAATTAAAGTACTCTATGTATTGATTATTTTGACGCATTCGACGGTTACCTAGACTTGATTAAAGTATGTGTGCACAGAATGTATACCACTAACGCTTTGGGCGCAGTCTCCTCTAGTGTTCATCATATCCTTCTAACGTGATCGACCAGTGATGTGCCGAATTTTTTTCTTTTTTCTTTCGTGAATTCCTCGTCAAGTATTTATCCTAAGGCGATGTGGTGGACCTCGCCTGAAAGAGCTCGTCAAGATCTGTCACATCCACCTAAACACAATGTATTTAGACAGTTCACGATGACGTAAATAAATTTCGCAAGTTGCAAAATTTACATTGATGACCAGTGATGTGCCGAATTTTATACTTTAAGTAAGTATGGATTAGGGTTGTGTAAAAAACAGGCGAGCAGACTGGAATTTTATAAAATGATAAAGGTATATTATATTTGCACAGGAATAATATATTGCGGAACTGTACTGCACATTCTCTCTTATTCGGACACTAAACCGTACCACGTGGCAATGTTCAGCAGGTGGGTCAAATACCCACATGTTTTCGAAGTGTCCTGTCAAGGCGGTATAGTATGTAGGACGTACTAGTAGATGAGCGAGGATAACGACGACGTAGGCGAGCGGTGGAATAGTGCCGAACGTAAACCAGCCAACAAGTACATCCTATATCTGTGTGTTTCGACCTCGTCAAAGCGGCCATGTTTGTACGTCGGCACGACGCACACTACAGTGTACTAGTACCGTACAGCAAATGGGGATGGTGCAAGATCACAAACTGCACGCATTACACCTACTACAGTACAGTACTGTACACAGGGTTGTTGATATGCGTAAACATTGGGAGGCGTGCACTACAGTACTGGTAGGTGCTCCACACCTACCCCTACCAGTGCTGCAACAACAAACACAGCGGTAGTTCTGCTTACTTGTACCGGTATCCCCCTAAGGATTTTCAGGGAAATTGTATTGGAAAAAAATCGTGTGGATAATTACTCTACTGAATGGGCTTTGGACAGGACTGTCTGAACGGCTACTCTGAGGGTGTCGTCAGTGTACGGCGTCGAGGCGGCATTGGATGTCAATTCAAACTCGAAAACCTTTTACATATAATAATTTTTCCCACCATAAACTTTTACAAGATTTTTGGCATGAGAGGTTCTGTTTTGTCCAATAATACAGCTCGAACGATTTAATTGGATGAAATAAATCGGCACATCACTG